AAATTCACGAGAACAACTCGATTTTCTGATCGGCTTTCTCATATATAGATAAACTCATTTTATGCATACTAAGGACGGCGTTGGGTATCTCGATAAGAATAAAGTAGCCCACAGTTTCCCCTGCAATGTTAACAAAACCATGCATTTTTTCCAAACGAGTATGTGCGCTTTTACACGCCTCCAAAAATATTGACTGATAGCTAAGCGACGAGACCATTTGTCACAAACGGCTGTGATCCTGTGTGTACCTTCATGTGGGACACAACTCGCAGCGTTGGAGTTTGGCACTCTAAAAGGCCGTACATATCTTGAAGCCATGCACTCCGATAAGTCGCGTACCGATAGCCACATTGTGTTATATGCTTTGTAAAAAGACTCACAAATAAAAAAAACTGAATAAGAATAAATATAGACTGACGCCCACAACGAGTGCGCTTGAGCGAAAACAACAAATAAGTATCAATCGTTAGGCATGTCTGTAAGTTAACTGTTTTTGCATATTTACTCAAGCATTACGGCGCCCTAAGGAACCAATGTCAAAAGCATGCCTCATGGATGCTTCTGTTTTTCCAAAGGTCGCATTTGTTTTCGAATTAAGTGCATACAATTGGTAGATGTGATATTGCGTATACCGAGAAGATATAACCATGGTGGAAGGATCATTGAACGTAATTGAGTTGTACTCGTGAATTCTTAAGTCTGCGACACCAAGCCGTTTCCAGGTGAGATCAACAGAGAATAAAGTTTAATGGCTCGACTAGACCGGTTGACAAGACAGGACAGACACTCATATAAAGGAAATTTGTTTGTAAAATGGGTGGACATATAATTACTTTAGGAGTTCAGGTGGGGGGGAGTTTTAATTTGTACTGTTCGTTATGCTGAACTGAAAGGGAATAAAGATTCAATAGAACACCGAACGGTTGAATTGGTGGTCTTCGATACGACTTGGGGGCAGAAATCATATCTGAAAACTTCACTTTCTCCTCTGCACATTTTGTCTGATGAAGGGTTAGTGTCACCATCTGTGAAAATCACAAGCGCAAATCGAATATTACCAACAAGGCGCTTACTATATTATATATCTTCAAACTGCAAATCGTCTTACTTTTTCAACATTGTTAGTATTCCTCAGCAGCCTGTTTATTTGTATCAGTTATTGTAGTCAAGATATAATTATTACAACTATAAGGTGATTTATTTTTTAAAAAGTTATTACAATTGTTTACTGTCGCTGTTGTCACAAATGGAAATTCACAGCGCTCTGGCATGTCACGTGCACAGTTAAATTACTACACAACAATTTGCTAAATAGATAAGTAGCGGAAGTCGAGTTAAGTAGGAGACTCACCACTGATAGCTACGCCCTCAGGTTTCATACAGGAAGTCCGATTGCTACATTAAGGAATATCCTGGTTTCATCGGCTTGCGTGTTAATACACATTAGCTGATCACGATGTTAACCGCAATTTCTATCATCTTCATAGAGGGCGAGGGAGTGATCGGGAGGTGAGAAGAACGTTTGGAGATGTCAGATATATAGTCACGCGGAAGTAATGAAAACATTTCGGACCACGGTAAGGTTTCGTGAGCAAATGTTGAGACTTATCCGTAAACGCATCGTCAGTCGTGAGGACATCGAATTGAAACAGTTAACTGAAAGAAGCGAAGCCGAGAGCGTAAGGAAGCAAGTCAAAAAGATAGGCGAATTATATTAAAGGTTTGAGTCCAGACAAAATCCAACATCAGCATTGATGCGTAGATATGAAATGTGCATCTTTTACAGGACACAGTGGCCAGACCATCGCATGAGAGGCTCTAGCCGTCAGTCCTACCATTTACCGTAGTCAGTCGTATTTGACGCTACGGTGGTTTGTCATTTCGCATCCAAGACGTTAAGTGGCCAAATTGAATAATCGTTGCGGCATATGCACATAATAATACGTCGCAAATAGCCTCACTCTCCGTGTAATTGTTGATCGCCATCGTCCTTAACGCGGGGTTAGTATTTTCACAGGCAACACCGCAACGGAGAATATTGAGTGTACGAGCGATTGTTGCTCATCGTCGAGCCGATCGGAGCGCGTCGCGCCCAATCACTTTTTTAATAGAAGCGAGTTCTATTGAATTTCTGATGGGCACCTATGGAAACCTGTTCTGGCCTCGTATATGACGTTCCAATACTGGATTATATAGCAAAACAAGGTTTTTGCGTTCTTGTCAAAATTACGATAAATACCTTAAAAATATAAAAAGTACGGTGCACTTTTATTAGACCATACACTAAGGATTGCGATCGCTGGTTTTTGTATTCTTTCAGGAATACGGTTATTTATAAAAAAAACAACGTTTGGCCATATCAAATCGACATTGGCTGACTTCTAACTAAAAATCCCTGTACATAAATGTTCTGAATGTTCAATGCATTTCGATGTCTAGTTATGCCACCTCAAAAATATACTTTATATTTTGAAATTAACCTAGGGTATAATAAGTTGATTTTCACAAAGTAATTAGAGACTATGCAAACATATCACGCCATGTAACGTTTCCATTCGTTAAAGCAAAATATGGTTGTTTTTGATTACAAGACTTAAGCGCCCTGTTCAAAAAACGAAATACAGTGATCATTTAGGCTTTTTCCGCATTTTTGACCATATACTTAATATTCATTGCAATCTTCCTAGCCTCGGTGTTCCAGAAACCTTATTTTCGCAGTTCAGATATTCTGATTAATTTTTAATAAATTGTTGCGCTTATTGACGTCACTAAAAGCAAATAACAATGTCTCAATATGAAAATAATTATTTGTCGAAATGTCCACCCATTTTACAAGCGGAAAGTAATTATAATAAGTAGTCTGCCAGGCAAAAACTGCGCTTAACTGCAATTGAATTGTCATATGTTTTTTTCATTTATATCTCACTTACGGTCTGAGTTGGTGCATGGATGGACGTTTATTGCCGTCCTTTTTTTACTCCTCCATTTCCACACAGCCTATTTTGACACAAAATGAAGATATCCGACTCTCTTTGGTTCTTTTTAACTGGCATCACTTCATCCGCCGAACTTAAAGCATCATTCTGCTAAATCAAGTGGAATTCGAAGATGGCCATGGAGAAGTCCTGGCCCAGTCGTTGTTTATCGTGGAGACACCGGCGTATTCCGAATCAAACAGACAACTGCTCAGTAAAATATAGTTTTTGCGTCCATATTTACGCGTAGAGCCTGCATGTGTTTGCTTGTGCTGTGTGCATCACATCGTTCGTCGCACTGAGTTTTTTGTGCCCAAACCGGTGTCGTCTTGATTTTGTTTTTGGCCGAAACATGGAAGTACGATAGAAGAGATGCGCAGTAGATTCGGAGCGAGCATCTGTTGCTAGGTCCACCTCGTGAGTTGATGTGTGCGTTGACGTTCGAAGTGCTCGGACTGTCGAAAGGATGACCATTTATTTACTCTGCACATGAGAAATTTTGCCAAAATTTGAAATCTCCGCTGGATGCGTAAGCATCTTCTAGAGAAAGTGATGTCCATATATACAAGCTGCATGATCCTGTGTTAACATCGACGGAAGTGCTATTTCCAGCGGCTAAAACTCATATCAGTTTATATTGATGTTTCGAAGCATAACTCCCTGTGGTTAAAAGATCTCACTATAAAAATGTCTACATTAGGACAGACAAAGCATGATCACCCAATCAATAAAAAATGTTCTTCGGAGATGAATTTAATTATATTTGTGAATACCCAATTTAGTGGCATTGACCTATGGTCACACAAAACGAAGGGGACGCTGGCGGCTTGATTAGGGGGCACTAATGCAGAGTAGAGTGACGAAGGTTAGCAAACAGAATTCATGTTGATAGAAGCGAACACGCGAGTTCCAGGTAGCAGTTTAGAAGAGAATGAACAAGAAATTCATCGGCCGGACGTTTCGGATTCCCACTCGAAGCCATCAACAGAGACAGTCGTGGATAGGGGTAACGGTGGTCCAGGGACTGCCATATTTATAGCACGTGGCAACTCTAGTAATATATGCGTACAGTAATTAGCATCTCTCGCAATCATCGTTTGGGTCGTAACTGATGCGATGGTGGCTTGTCTGTCCGCGTACGAGTCCTTGATGGTCGTAATTTTGTCATTCGTTTTGGATGCTGGCAAGACGAGGGCGCAGCAAATTGGCTCACAGTCAGTGGGATAATTTCTCGCCCTCGTCCTCCCCACGTGACTGATTCCTCTGCTCAGGAAATATCTCAGCACGGGATATGATAACAGGAGGTCATTGCGCTTGTTGATGGATTGCGGGGCTGAGAACGACGACTCGAGCAGCTCGCGGTTCACGCGGTTGTCACCGCTTGCGAGGACTCGGCCTGTTGACATTTGAAAATATGGCCAGGTCCCGTCGAATGAGCCGCCACTTTTTCTCCAATTTGTCAGCCACAGAATGCATTTTTATACTGCACAGCATTTTGTAATATTACCTATTCAGTGATAAGTATACAATATCCTACTTAATTAGTCTGTTCGAAGCGAAAACGAATTTCGGAATTTCGGTTGACATTTGATGAGTTAGCCCACCTACTATACATAAAATTCACTGACATGAACGTCACGCGTCGTACAATGTCACATTCGGAAGGCGTGATCACTGATAAGACGTTTAGGGAAAGTAGGCAGACACAGAGATATGCATACCATTTTATGCGTGTGTCAGGAGAACATTATCCCCCTAAAGTAACCAAAAAATTAATTGAAGACTTTTGATTAAGCTGGCTGTCAGATTTCATTAAAATGCGAGCGTGCATTTACGGACTTTTAAGGCTCTAATTAGACTCTCCGCGGAAATAGATTTAGCAATCCTTGCCTGTCAAGACCGCCAAACCAGGACAGTTCCATAAAGTCTTCGTCCCAGCAATGGGTTCCCAGGCGTCGTTTAATGCATACTTCGACAGAGGTGATGTCGGCGTTTGTTGTTGTGTTAGTATTGTGTGCAGTATTGATGTGCGTGGCAACCGCCACAACGACAGCCGTTGGGACAGCCGGGGAAGAGGATGAGGAGGAGGAGGAGGAGGAGGAGGAGGAGGAGGATGAAGGAAGCAGCGGTTTAGGAAGGCGGTCAAAATTACTTGACAGTTTAGAGAACGACGAAGGGGTGGACGGAGGTAGGACGGTTGGCGCGGTCCGAGTTGTGCAGTTGATCGGAAGTTGTCCAAAAATGTCCGTTGACATCGTGGACACGTTTGAGGCGAGTGTGCGTTGGCGTTAGGGAGTGGGAGCAGCTGAGACTTGCGTGATTCTGGTTTGGTTTTCGCGGCGACAATTCAGCTGGCTCTGTAGATGGCATCGTCTGGCTTCACTGTCCTTCTCCACGTCGCTCGGTCTAGGGCGAGGTCTTCGCAGTTGGCCGGATTGATTAGCAGACGTTTCAGGGCGGAAGATCCGACATAATACAGGATTCATTCCATTGCCCTATATCCCGTCCTCTAGCAACCTATCGAAGGCCGCAAGCACGGTGCCAATCTACATATATACCGCAGACGCATGATCGTCCCTCAGACGTGATCTGAGTCGTTCCCTCTCCAGGAACGCTAGATCGCGGTTGTGCCAACAAATAGTCGTCAACGCTCGGCGAAGTCTATCGCGCTTGAGTAAACCTTCCACCTTCAGTTCTCGTGATCATGCAACTGCCGACATAACCGATGTGGAACCGATCAGCTGATCAACACTCAGCCAATCGTTTTACCTCGATGACATATATATAAGATAAGCGGCGACAGAGACAGCAAACGGAATGGCTGCATTTCGTTTAATCGCCGTCGTCTGACATACAGAACGTAGGATTACTCATGAAACGTGATGTCATGAAGTGAGACGGCCAAGTTTATGCTTCTAAAATGTTAGAAATGTAGTTCCTCCTTATGACCCGTTCTAGAAAATGTATTTTGCATGCAAGATATATTAAAACGGCCACAATATTTACCGACTTAAAAGCAAATTTAAGTGCCCTTTTATTCGAGTTGTTTTCTGCTCTAACATTCTCCGTGTAGTGCGTATGCCGGTCTGTACGTGTTGTTATATGTGGCGAAACTCGACGCACAGTGAAATCGATTTTCCCCTCAAGTTGGACGAAGAACAGTATAAACAAGGAAGTTTTATTAAGCAAGCCGGACTACATCGATTTTACGAATCACATTTGCAAATGTGTGTGACGCCATGCCCTTAAGCACATTTATAACGCCTATATTTGCATACATAATAAGCATATGTCGAGACATTGTGCGCATAGTCTGATTTCCATTGATCCGTAATTTATAAACAGATCGATCGAGCTGGCCATACTACTTGATTGGCAAAAGCGATTTCCATATGTCCCCGTTCAAAACCCGAATGCTAGCACACTCAAATAGGCTGTCAACACGGAAATCAACACTCAAAGCTATGCTGCGTGAAATGTCGCCCATCTGCCTTATGACTCAAACCCAAAGGATGATTGTTCAATACTGATTGACAAAGTCGAATATCCGCAGGCCAGTTAAATACCGTCTGGAAATGAAAACGCTAATCTTTCACTCAACATATTGAGTGTAGGACCTGAAGCCCTGTAAGATTCCAATTTAGATTCACGGATTAAAACTGAAAAGTTTATCCTACTGCCATAAACCGAAGCAAAATGCAAGACTGGAATTTCTCTGAATTTATTCACTTTAATTTTTGGATTTCTCGTAAGGTTTGTTGATATGTGGCTCGTGGACCAGCAGGGACAGGGCCACAAGAGTGCGAACAACATAAGCCTAAAGGCCTTATAAAAACACGGCAAAGCCAAATGAAGCCTCCGCGACATGGCGAACACGAACTGCTATTATACGAGTTTGCTGTCTTTTGGTTAGGCTCTTGATCCAAAACGCCGCAGATGACAACCTCGAACATAAAATCTCAGTGGTTGTTGGGGGCGCGCCTGTATCTATGTTTGCTAGAAAACCAAAGGAATCTACGTCTGCTCTCAATGTCTCGGCGTCTGCGGGAAGCGAAGGGCTGCGCCATCCGGGTGCAGTTCTGCGGCGGAATAGTTTACGACCAGGACTACTCAATAGGGGACGGATACTTAGTAATGAATGCTGAGATGTGCGGGCGTTCCTGGACCCCGGTACCCATAGTCTGACCGCGTGCAGCATTATTCAGTACAAAGTGGATGATTGCTGTCGGTCTAATGTTCAGCTTTCTGACTTAGAATCTCAGGAAATAAAGATCCCTGAAGACGACTCACAGCGGACAACACAACTCATCAGATAGACACGTTGTCGCGATTGCCCTTTTGCAGCAAGTGGTGCTCGTTTTACTTGCTTGGGAACCAGTCATTGACTGGTGAGTCATTTCACGAACATTTCCATCGCTCCTGTGTACGCACCAAATCTAGCTGCCGATCAGCGCGATAAAGTGGCGTTTTAATTGGCGCTGTAAGCTTTATTTGAAAGACCTCCTGGCCGAGGCATGCTTATTGCTGCCGGGGATGGAAATGATCATACTGACCCAGGCGACTCCACAAACAGTAATCTTATAGGGAGATTTTGTCCTGCTTGGCGATATGAAAATGGCGAGAGATTGCTGAACGTTGGAGATCAGAACCGACTGCTTGTCACAAACATGTATTTCCGGCATTTCAACAAACATCTGCTGACCTAGTATTCAAACGATGGTATAAAGCTGCTCAGACTAGCTACATATTAATCAGCCCAATGTTCGCTAACTAAATTCACAATATCAATTAGACGCGTGTTGCCAAGACTGGTAACGTTCTCGGGTTGGGTCATGTCCTTGTTCGTACACGCTTGAAAGTTCACCTGCATCGCGCCAAAAATGGAACGACGTAAATGCCCCAATGCTGCAAAACGTCTGACAATCTTCACTACTGAAGCCCTAAACAGAAAAATTCGAATCCGTTTCACGGCCTGAGCCGACGAAAAAGGCAGTAACCGATCGTTGTAACTGAAAACGTCAGCTTGTCGGGCAGCTGAGAAAATGCGTGGATTTACCCAGCGACGCCTCAGTGACTGCATCAGCGGAAGAACGCCGCAGTTGTCCGCTCAGACGGCTCTAGACGGCTCTTGTTATCATGATTTCTTTCGCGAAATCCGAAAGATAGCGTGATGAATTTGTATACGTATGCGGTAGCATGCCAATTGCATCCTATAAATACTGCTGCCCCTTATGCATGAACCACCTATATCTGCTCTCGTCTCAAATTACGGTTTCGAGTAGAAATCCGAAAGTGCAGGCGGATAAAGCTTTTGTCCTATCCGTCGTGTCTCCTTCTTCAACCCATCTCAGGCTGTACGTGACTAAATGACGAGACGCAACCAAGCCCTATTTCTTGCCAGACGTGGATGTGCGAACCAGGTATTCGCACTGAGGCTCATTCTCGGATTTCGCCATAACTGCCAACAACCGATGATCATATGCATTTTTGATTTTACCGTCACCTTCGATTTCATCCTTCGTGAGTCCCTGTGGTGGATAATGGCACTAGATGGCGTACCGTCAAAGATCATCGTCATGATCAAGGCCTCTTATCGCCACACCACTGCGGTAGTTCTTGTCAACGAGCATTTTTCCTAAACGTTTGGCATTCGGTTTGGCGTTTGACAGGGTTGTTTCTTGTCGCCCATTCTATTCAACTACACTACTGACTTGGATTCTCGACAGCACCCCGCACGAAGGTGACGGTGTTGAATTTGCAAATGATTATGCCGGTAATGTTGCCCCACTTTAGGTGATCTTCAGCCTATGGTATTATGGATGGACGGGGTCGCCAAATCGGCCGGTTTATCTACAAAGGCTTGGAAGACTAAATCGTTTTCAATCAGCATCCCCGACTAGAAAATGTGGCATTTGAGATTCCTAGCTGCGAACGTGACGAAATGGGCAGTTTAAAGTACCTCGGGGCGAGGCTGCTGCCTAATGGGCAGAATACGGACGACACTGGTTCCTGAACTAATGCTGTCCACCGGGTCTTCTCAAGCCTTAGAAAATGCCTATGGATCCGACGCGACTTCTCCATCGCCACTAAATTTCGCGTGTGCCGCATATACATCCTGTTTGTCCTTAGTAATTGTTGTGAATTTTGGACTGTGTTTGTGGAGAACGAACAAAAACTGGAGTTATTCAACCACAGCTTCTTAACGACGATCCTCCGTGTTAAATTTATCGACTTTGTGTTTAAAAAGACTTCTGCACTGGCTTCGACAACATTGCAAGGATAACCCAGACCATCCAAGAACAATTGTTAGAAGGATTCGAGCATGTTCTTTTCGTTCACCTCAGGAGGTCAGTGTCAATGTCCTCGATCCGTCATCGTTAGCCAAATGGAGGCGTCGAAGAGGGAGTAAACTTAAAAGTTGGCTCGACACAGTTCGTCAAGACATGGAGGTGATTGTAGGACCTTTGGTAGTCTATCTCCACCTCTGGCAAAGAGGATTAATTGAACTGTCCAGAGCTGCAACCGTGGATCGTCATGTGTGGAGATGTGTAGTTCTGGGCATCAACTAGCTTGGTCAAATCAGGCATGATCGAAGCCGTACCAAGTAAAAGACATGTAAAAAAGGTAGGCAGTAAATTATTGTCCAGTTGCAAAACTTAATTTGGCATCCTGTACGTCCAACGTGGCTTGTTTTTTAGCTTACATCAGAATCCCGCTGGATATTTTGCTTGCTGGTTTCTCCTTTGAGCTAAAGCATCATTTACACCCGGATTTTCAATTGTGAAAACTTAATTAGTAAAGATATTTTTAAAACACCAAATGCCTGTATTCCGTTGCGAGTTAAAAAACCTACGTGTGCAGTGTGTATGTGGTGTACAGGCAACTGCCTACATAACTAAGAATTATGTTGAAGATTAATCAGTCTCGACAGTTAAAAAGAAATTAATTCAACAAAATTGTTCTGACGCACGCGATCTGATGCAGTAGCCCGCGATTCATTTCGTCAGTCTACTTTCAAAAAAGGTTTTTCTGGCCCACAGGATCTGATGTAGTAACCCACCATTTATTTTGTCAGTCTTATTCTTGGTACAAATCGTTTCTTCAGTAAAGCAGCCACAAAGTCAGTTGTTTGGGCAGATTCAACAGCCGACTGTGCAATTTCCAAAAACCAGTAGTTTCAAATGAGTGCAACCGGTTGTCATCTTGCCGCCCTCCTGAATACGCTGCTGCTCTAAGCATTCCCAAGGCGAATGATCGTCCCAGCATATTATTGCGTCTTGTCTATTATTTTTTATAAACCTGCTTCCAAGGACGGTTAAATTACAAAATATATAATTAATATATATCTTCTGTTCCCACGTTCTACCAATGAAACAGCTGAAAATGGATTGCTTATACTGTAGGGAAATTTGTAAACGAAAACTTACCTTTAGCCGAATACTACGACGGTGTTCAATAAAACACAAAAAATAAAGAAGAAAATGAAATACAGTTTATTACTTGAGTTTAATCAGCGATTAGTCATTAGAATGTCGGCCTACAAATAACAGTTTTGCTTAAAATGCACAATCCATTTAGCAATGTCGAGTGCCCTGAATTTGAAAGGACAACTAATGCAGTTTCATGGTTAAAAAGTGAAGGTTGAATTCTTTCATGTGATTTTCGTACCACGTGAGGGACGATTCTAGTCTTCATTGACGGGCAAAACGACATAAATGTCATTAGAGGAACCTGTTTAAAAATAACATATCCAATGCGTTTTTTATGTCAAGAGCGACATGCTGGACAACAAAAGCGGTGTCGTTTTAATTTCGCAGGCATATTCCTCGAGTAATCACAGAAAGGTCATTTGAGACAATTTGCCTGAATAGAAAATAACGATACTAGGTAGGCGTCCGTTTATGGCTTCGATATTTATCTCCAGGGATGACAGTGGCCTAAAGATTTTGGGACACTACTGGTAAAAAGATCGTGTCAAAATTCAGTCAGAAATGTGGCGGTCGCTGATTTGTCTCTTAAAGAGATTGATCCCTGCATTTCACGCGGAAGAGAGCCAAAATGTAGCGTCAAATTGGGTTTCTGATCGGCACCTGCGAAAGCTTTTTGGCCCTGTCTAGTCCGCTCCGGTGCGAGGTTATATACCATGACAACGCCTTTGCGTGCTAGTCAAAAATGTGAGACAACCATATTGATAACTCCAAAAAGTACGGTATACTAGGGCCAGACCATGCATTGAGGACCGCGCTTATTAATTTACGTATTGTTCTAAAAATAAGGCCTACTTACAGAGCATAAAATTTGGCGCTACCTAATCTGACTTGATTGCTTTCTAAGCAAACCACATCGTGCTTGGATTTTCTAAAAGTGCAATGCATTTTAATGTCTGGCTTTGCCACCTCGTACAAGCACTTTATTTTTAGAATTTAGGTTATGTATAAAAATAAATTTCCGCACGGTAATTATTAGTTATTCAAACATGTCACAACATATAACGTTTCCGTTCATTAGAGCAAACTGTGGCTGTTCTTTGACTACGAGATATAAATAAAGGCTTTGGAAAGCCTATTACAATCAAAACGAAATAGAGTGATAAATAAGGCACTTTTTGCGCTTCTAGTTAAGCAGTTAAAGTTCATCGCGATTGCTCTAGCTATTTTTAGTACAAACCGTTATTTAAATAATTTAGCTGTTCTGATTAATATTTAGGATATATTTACACACATGAAATTCAAACAAGAAACGAGTCCTTTGAGAAAATGAGCAAACTTTATTTCGTAAATTTTCCACTAAACTTGTCGTCATACGTGCAGTAAGGGTCAAAAAACAGTTAAAATATAAACATGCACAAAAAACTCGTTGTTGCTTCGTCAGGGCTGCGGATGAGTCAATGCTGTGGGCTGATGCCATGTCTTGAGTGGTTGTTACCTTTTGCATTTTTCTTTGAGATTTGTGTTTATGACGTCAAGACCGATGAACCGATTAGGGAATGAATTATCGGAGTGAATGGCCTCTAGGAACTCTCGGTCTTATGTGGACAGAAACCGACAATGCTTGTTTTATCCCAAGCGAACGTGTGCCCAGTTTCGAGAGTATGCATGACGACTTGGGATAAGTGGTCCCGCCGCTTTACTGCCAGTTGGTGTTCACGTTGGCGTGTAGAGGCGGCTTTTACGGTGTAGCCACAGTATATTGCACTAAAATTGCCACATGAAATCTTATAGACTACATTTTTATCCAAATATCCAACCGTGGCCTTAGGATGAACAAGCTGACTGCTGCTTCCTCAGTTGTCTTAAACAGGTTCAGACATATTGTTAATGTACGGAATCGTTCGTCGATATTTTGATTTTAGGCGTCCGATCGGAACAATTTAGGTCCTTATCTCTTTCTTTAAATTCCTACTCTTTCATGCGTCGGCGTACAAAATCTATAGCATAGTCGTTTGGGGAAAATAGGTTGAACATATAATTGAGTTCTTTTTTGTATCCTTTGTTCTCAGAGTAGTGTGTCTTCGCTCGAGTAAGTATGGTGTTAACAGCACTCCGTTTGTAAATCATAGGGTGGTTGCTCTCGTTATTAAAGAAAACTTTTGCGTTAGTTTCTTTGCTCAAAACTAAGCCTTCTTATTGCTATTAAGACAAAATTTATAAGCAAGCCTATTCAAGGCTCTTCATAAATAGTTATAGGGAACATATTAAAAAGACGAGCTTTTACCAATTTGTGAACGACGACATAAAGTGTGGGAAAGATACAAAATTAATGTTCAGTACAAGCTGGTTCTAGTCTTTTATTTCTTTTTTTCAATTTTGTTTGCCCGTCAGCTGGACTCTGTGAGTGCTTTTTCAGGAAAAAATACTAAGTGTCCATTAAAATTGGTTTTTCCCTGACATTAGACGAAACAGACTTTAGAAAGGAAGGATTTATTTAGAAAGCCAGACGTTTTATCGCCTTGAACTAATCACCTTTGCAACTCTGTGTGATGGGATGAACTAAAGCACAGTAATAACGCTTGCGCCCTAAAAATACACAAGAAACATACATGGAAACATTTTTCTGCATAGCCAGCTTTCCGTTGATTCGTTAAGCATAAGCGGATCGATCGAGCTGATCATTAAAATGGATCAGGGCAGTAAGTTCCGTATATCGCCTTTCAAATTCAGGATTCGTCTACAGTTTTGTCGGCTGATAACTGAAAATTCCACTTTCACCAAGATGCTGCGTGAAATGTCGTTCATCTGCCTAAATGAAAACTTGTTTCGATCGGTCAGCATTGAATGGCAATTGTAAATCTCCAGTGGCCTACTAAAAATGGGTTAGAAATGAAAAAGTCAATGACCGACTCAAAATGCCAGTTGCAGGGAGGTGAAGTTGTTGTAAAATTACAATTTGGGCTCGTGTATGAAAACTAAACCTATTGTCAAATTGTCGCAAACGGCATAGAAATGAGCGACTGGATTTCTATAAGTTTATCCAGTCTCATATCGAGTTTACTCTTAAGAGTTTCTATTAAGCCTCCTGGCACTGATAAGGAGTTTGCCTATGGCAAACAACGTTATTGAAATTATAGTAGACAGACGTTAGCCGATGGTTTTATGGAAGTCAATCGTCCTCTTGTTCTCAGGTGCGACCAGCATCCGCACAGGGCGCATGATATAAGCAGAATGGTATTACGACAAAGGCAAGGGACCCTGGATGCGAATGTCCTGATGATGGATTCGATTGAGAATCGGAAACCTCAGGCAAATACATTTCTTCTTCCAGTGATCGCATCTTCATCTTCTTGACCCTAGATTATTGGCCATCGTCAGCCATTCATAACCAAACCGAATGTGTGGATAACCATGGGGTTTTATCGCGCAACCTGCTGTTTACAAGTCCGGCGCGACCAACCACTTAGCTGCAAATAGTTCCAAACAAGTTCAACCGATTGTCATTATGCCCTTTCTCCTGATTAAACTAATACTTTAAATTATCGTCAAGCCAGAAAGCAAAAACCTACCACCGTACACTTGCGTCCTTTTTGTTATGTTTATTCACCTGGTGCGAAACGCGACTAAAAAGCTGAATACATATAAAACATATACCCCCGGTTCCCACGTTCCATCAATCCTTCATTGTTTCTATTTCGTCCTGTAAAACAAGATTGAACAATGGAAAACAACGATAGGTATCAAAACACAAAGTCCAGCGTTTTCTGCAAACACAGTCCATAAACAATTTTTCGCTTTAAAGGTATACCGTTAACTGTTTCACGTTGTTACAATTGAACACAACTGCGATGCATACGTGAGGGAATGACGTGATGTCAGAAAACATGTTTTGGTAAGCTACCGTGAGTGGCCGATCTCATAAAATGTTGGGCAAAGTTTTGAAGTGCATTTTCAATTAAAAAGGATTTCCGCAGTGGGGTTGTAATACTGATTATATTGCGGCACAATCCCAAAATATCACCGATTTGGCAGGATGTGGGCTTTTGAATGCACCTGTTTTTAATCTCCTGATAAAATCGTACTTTGTAAAAATGATTACATATTTAACATGGATTTTCCCATCGATTTTTAATGGTCTTATAAATTCAAACTTATTGCCTAAAACATCAAGAAGTATATCCTTTTACTCTTTTGATAGAGAATCACGCCGACTTCAAATTTTATACTCAAAGTAGGAGTAGAATTAGGTTTAAAAGAAGTTTATTATTCCAACTAATTTAAAGCCTGATCAGCCGTTGAATTAATGCCTAGTGATTTCAGTCTACAAGGTTCATTTGTTCCGCGCAAGGAAAATCATATATTCTTCCAGGCCGTCAAAATGATACTCTACAGAGTCTACAAAATTTCGCAGTAGATTCGGATTAAGTAGTACATTTCATGAGGAGCGGTAGTAAACGGGCAGGTACGATGCTGCGCGAACTGACGCTTTAAAGTTTTAAAAATGTCTTAATTTGAATGCTTTCTGAAACCTAATTATACTTCCATTTTGAGTATAAAATATGATGTCGGTGTGATTCTCTATCGATTTGGTAAATGAAGGAATATGTTCCCTAATGTTTTTAAGAAAATATATTGGAATTTATACGATCATCAGAAGTTGATGGGAAAATGCATGTTACATATGCAGTCATTTTTACGAAGTACGGTTTTATAGGAGATTAAAAATAAAGTGCATTCAAAAGCCAATATCTTGCCAAGTCAGAAATATTTTAGGATTGTACCGCAAGATAATCAGTATTACAACCTCACTTAGGTGCTCAACATTTTATGAGATGGGCCACGCATTAGGTGCGAGAGAAAAGGACACAATTTTGATGTGTCTCAGATACCGTTTGGGCATACTTTATGACCATCACTCTCTTTTTTTCGTAAACTGACTCAAAATTATATATGACATAATGTGGGTTTCACACCATTGCCAATTATTTCGTCCTCTAACCGGGTGACGATAGCCGCGAATACGGTGCTAATCAACATACATACCGCAAACGCACAATCATCCGCTAGGCGCGACCTAAGGAGTCCATTGTCCACCCACGCGGCTTCGTGACTACGCCCACAAACAGCTGTCCCCGGTCGGCGTATCCTGTCATCCTTGAGTGGACCTTCACCCTTGGGGTCTCGTGATCATGCAACTGCCGACCCAACTTATGTAGAACCGATCACCTGACCAACATTCAGTCAATCGTTTTAGAGTTATTGTATGCATATACAAGGTGAATGCCGACAGAGGCATAGAAGAATGTGATGACTGATTTTGTTGTTTAATGGTCGTCGTCGGCCATGCAGATCGTAGCACAAATCGTAGACCGTGATGCTGAAAAAAAGGACTGCGAAATTGTGTGCGTCTAAAACGTCAAAAATGAAGTTCCTTCCCAAGATTCCTCCTCGAAAATATTTTCGTATTCAGAATATTTTCATCAGTAATTGTTACAGTCAACATTTTTGCCGCACATTGAAATTAATTTTATTTCTTAAATCGGATGCAGCAGAGATTAAGACGGGGAGTTTTATTCAACAAGCCAGGCGTTTTATCGGTTTTAGCAAATCACTCTTAGGAAGGCGTGTGTGATTTGATGACCTAAAACACATTACTAACGCCTTCGCCTTGGAAACACACAATAAACATAAACAGAGACATTGTCTTCATAGTCTGTTGTCCACTGATCCGTAAGGTATCATCAAATCGATCGCACTGGTCATTCTAATGGATTGAAGAGAACGATTTCCGTATAGCATCGTCCAAAATCAGAATGTTAACGCAGTTTTATCGGTTGCTAGCTCGGAACTCAGCACGCAAAGTGGTGCCGCGTGAAAATCCCGTTTATCTGTTTTATGAGGCACCCACAAAGTATAATTTGTTTCGATCGGTCAACATTGATTGGCAAATTCAAATCACCTGAGACATGTTCAGACTCTCCTGGAAATGCAGTATCTGATGGTAGACTCAAAATGTCCACTGTAGGACCTAAAGCCACCTTGAGATTCTAATTCGGGTCGACAGATTAAAACTTAAAAGTGTATCCTGCCAACATAGTCAGGGTAAAATGTAGGACTAGAATTATTACAAACTTATCCGGTCTCCTTTTGGGATCATTTCTGAGTATTATTGATGTTTGGAGCGGTTATGATATGAAATTTGCCTACAACAGTGAAAACTACTGCATTAACTATTAAAAATCTCTAAAAAATACTTGTAAATCCGCGCGCAAAATAGCAAGTTGACTTAAAAAATAATCCCACTAGTTGATGGAATCGCGCATCATGCTTATGGTGATGAACATCACACGAAAACGAAAGGCAAATCATTAAGACCAGTCAGACATTTCAACATGTAAATACCTACATATGCACTTTTTTTCTTATCTAAGTTTCACAGCGATACTTTGGGTAATAATCTGCCGGTAAATGAGGATGAAATGACTCCTCTTAAATGTGTACGTAATCAAAAATGTGGCCAAAATTATGATTCGAATAAGCGCAGTTGAATGCATTTTGCAACATTTAAGCGTTATATTCACCGTCTTAAATGAAAATAAAATGTGATTGAGTTCGCTGCACTCATAAGAATAGTAGGTTTGCATTCCGTTTTCCTACGAATGAAATTGTTTCGCTGTGGTGTGTGCTGCTTGCGTGTTATATGCACGGCTGATTTCGTAAACATCAGTCTTCTGAATAGCTACGTAGCGGACGTCGAGGGAAGGAAAATACCCCGAAAGCTTTAACTAAGCTCCCGAGCTTAATTAGTGAATGTCGGCTAGGATTTTTGAGACATGTCTTAAATTTGGCATCTTGGTTGTGAACTCATATTGATGATTACGATGTTGGCTAACATTCCTGGCAGCCTGATACATCGAATGAAGTGAACAGAAGGGAGGCAACCGTTTAGAGATGTCAGATATATATTTCAGACCTGGATTATGCTTATTGCGCGATTTTTGGTATTTATTTAGAAATGCATCGTTAGTCGTATGGGCACTGTGCAGCGGTGAGCTACAGTGAGCAGTTCAGAGGGAGAGACGCATCGGCGGAACGTTTCAGATCCACACTAAAGCCTAACATCAGAGCTATTCGCGGATGAACGGTAGTATTAGGCCATATTTGCCATACGATCACATGACAAACTCCAATTGTCAGTCGCAGCATTCATTGCGGTAGGTAATGCGTGATGCAAAGGCAACTTATCAGTTCGTCCCTGAGATATTAATTGGCCAAATTTAATCATCCCCTGTGGCATAAGAGCATGATAGCAAATCCGCATCATCATGTCAAGGTTGATTATTTTCCACAGGCAACAGACCGGTTAGCCATGACTTAAACAACTCCTAGCTAACGCGGTCGCCACTTACTGTAAAAATTTAAGCCTGTCAAACTTGGATGTATGACGGGGTCTAATCGGGTGGGCAGTAATTGCACTGAAAATTAAGCAGATGATCCAAAGATGTCTTGCAGATGGATTAGCAAAACTAATATGTATATACATATACATACATATATACATACATGTATATATGTCTAAAACTGTTTTGATGAAAAATAAGTGTTTTTGATTTTATATCAGTTTGACTTCTTTTTCACCATCGATTGGTCGGTTTAAATCATATCTAAGCAAACGCTGATTCACTAACTGTCAGCACGCCGTCTCGCATATTTAGACGGTGGCTCACAGTGGCACAAGACCCTGCGCACTGCAGACCCTAGCGTTAAAGGCAACTACAAATATAAAAGCAGTCGTTCCTACCAAATAGAAACGGGTCTATTTGCAGCAACTGAAGGTGGAATGTTGTTGACAAGAGGAGAAGTTGCGAGCAATTTTTCGCAGTCCCGAAGTCGTTTATCATTTCAAATTTACGCTTGAGTATCCAACATTGCAGAACCGTAAACTGAAATATCTTCTTCGAGGTCGCATTTCTGCGAATGTATTTGGGGCTACTGGCTGTCAGTCAGTAGCCGATGAGACGGTTTATACGACGAAACTGATCTTTACTACGTTTTTACCATTATAGGGTAAGCATGCTTACTGCTACACGGTCTAATAAGAACGTTGGGAGGAAAAGGGAAAGATATCGAAGTTTAAGACAGTAACTGTGCCTTGAGAACCGTTATGGAGTATTTTTGACCTCTATTTTATTTGTTCCTTCAAAAACGTTATATAAGGAAGGTCCAAGGTTATGCAGACTCCACTTCATCGCCCTATTGTTCATCCTCTGGTTCCCTGTCGACGGGCGCGAATACGGTGCCAATACATAGATATGGCGCAGACGCATAATCATCACTCAGGCGTGAAATGATTCGTCCCTTAATCAGCCACGCTGAGTCGCGGCTGTGCCACTGAACTGTCGTCAACGGTCGGCTTAGCGTGTCACTGTTTAATGGACCATTACCCTCAGCGTCTCATGATCATTTCCCCATAGGTTAAGCATGATGATGTAAATATATAATACATATTCAGCTCGCTAAGAGTGCGACAGGCCAGACGCAGACACCTGTTTCGCGGTTGAAACCGATCATCAGTACGTCATGGTCCTCATGTAGTCAGGTATATAAGCATGTCAATTGTGCGTTTGACTCTCACTGTTGTCGATAGGATCTCACTCGATCCTTTCCTGTCCTCCCGCCAGCTTGCTACTGGTGACAATGAATGGGATAGAAGAAGGCGATCGAATGAGATCCTAACCACAGCAGTGAGGGTCAAACGCCCACTTGACATATATATTTATATATATAAATATAATACAAGTGCCGACAGATATAAGAATGTATGGATGGCTGTGTTTGCTTACTTGCCGTCGGTGGGCTTATAATACGTAGCATCACTCAGGAAACGTGATTTCAAAAAATAAGACAACCAAATGAAAGCGTCAGACATTTTAGAAATTTAGCTACTTCGTTTATACCATGGCCCTACCCTCCCGTACAACTTTTCTCTTAACTAGTATGCAAGATGAGTAAACGAACAGACGCCATCCGTCGGCGTAGCCTCTCACTGTTGAGTGAATATTCACCCATGAAGACTCGTGATCAGCCAAACACCCACGCAATTAATGTGTTACTAATCATCTGTCCGACACTCATCCAATCGCTTTAGCACAATGAATGGATAATGACAGAGAAAAGTAAGAATGTGTTTTGGGTTGAATTGCCGCCGTTTAACATACAGAAAGTAGCACAATTCATAAAAAGGGATATCAAAAAGTGAGACTACTAACTTTAGGCGCAGTTGTTGTTGAAAATTGATTTGATTCGTCTGACCCGTTCCGAAAAGTGTTTTTTGTATGCAGTCCCTTCTCATAAGTATTCGTAATGATCGAGATTTTTTTCCTATTAGAAAAAGAAGCGAATATTTGAAAGAACGTTCCACTTTATAACTTTACACAACCTTACAAAAGGTAACGCACGACGCTATGTGTCAGCGAAATACCTTGATAACCATTTCTTAACAAAATAAGCTACGAGAAAGTTTTTCAATCAGATTTTCAGTCTGGATGTTCATTATTCCTGACGATGATGTTTTCCGCTTGATTAAGTCTGAAAATATTAACCAAATGGCCATCTGCTCAGGGAAAAATGCCTAAACACTCAATAGTTCAGAAACAAATCCTTCATGATATACCTTTTTGGAAATTTCTATAAACAGATTGCACGCAATCAGCCTTTATGAGCAATTTATCGAAAAACCGAACTGGAAAATATTCACCATTGTTTATTGTATGATGTGAGACCTACCATCCTCCAACACAAGAAAAAGAGCCATAAAGACACTTAAAGAGACCGAAGCTCTTTTTATATGCACAAGCTGACATGTGACCACAAATTTCAATTTTATGTAATTTGTTGGCCACCAAACGATCTTTTGGAAGTTGACCGTATGGAAACTTTCATTCCCGTGACGGACGTGCTGGCGTAATCAAGCAACACCCTGATCGTCTTAGTCATCAGAATCTCGAAAATACATGTATTCCAGATGGTGGTGCATGCGTGCGTTCAATTGTTTAACTATCCATCGTTTCAAACTCGCGCTCGAACCCGTCGTCAGGGAATATAAATTTGTACAGCTCATTACATATTTATTTCATCTCTGCCGCGGACGACCTTCAGTTTTGCTGCTGATTTGTTCACTTAATGCTTCATAGGCGATTGGGAGCTACATATATCGGCTAATCAAGCCCTCAGTTTAGTGACACGTCCCCTGCAGCAGACACAAAGCTCGGTCCACTGACTAACGAACATTATCACGCACATAAATTCAAAGTTGTGCACAGGTGAGGAAGCGTGGGCGGCTGCTAAGGGGATTTTGTCCTTCCATCTCACAGCCAACTTATGCTCGTGCGAACCTCTTTGTCAGTTTCGCCAACAAAAGTGGTCTGAACGCACTTGCTGTCTATCCGGTTTATATATATATATATAATAGCCAGTTGTCTTGTCAGTTTTCGTTCGGGAAAATGCAATGGTAAGGGGCGCTCACCGATCGTTCTTACGGATCTCACTCGTTCCGTTGTGCCTTAAGGGCTCTCTCTCGAGCCCAACCTGCCGCCGCACAGCGACGCATGATATATAGGCAGAATGGCACTGGAGAGGTATAGGAGAGTCCATTGGACTTCCCTACATTTGCTGGTATTACATATTGTCGGAATTGCAAAAATGATCGCCAGTCAGCTAAATGAGTTCGGTATTCGCGTTTCCCACGAGCTTGCATCTTTGCTGCCTACAGCTTTATCTCAAGTAAAAGATACTACCCCCATAGAGGAACTGATTAACATTATCCATCTCGTCTCATGTGCAAAATGTCCCTGCGTATATGTTGGTCACTCAGGTCGACGCCTGGGAAATCAAATTAATGAACACAAACTAGCTATCCGTCACCGTGACTGTCCCTCGTCTATGCACACACACTCCAGTACGACCACCGTTTCAATTTGGATGGCATCGAGTTCATTGCAACGGCCAACATAAAACGGGCGAGAGACTTCCTAAAGGCATGACACTAACGCGGACAGCATCAACCGACACGTTGACCTAACCGCCCATTATGAGGACCTAATATCACGCCTCACTAAGCTGATACCCACGCCGCATCAGCGGCCGCTAATCCAGGCGTCCGCAGTTTTGCCAACCTGCCATTCTATGTCCCCTGCAAAACGGGGGGTCATAACTGTCCTCTCCCCCCCCCTTCCTACCCTCCCGGCTCAGAACCCAGCATGACTCCCTGCCCGCATCCCTCCACACACGCTAATGGTCTGCTCGTCAATGTTTGTTCGGTCGCGTCTACTAGTCTAGTGTGACTGCCTCACTCCCTCTTTTATCTTCATTACGTCTGACAACGGGTTGGTGTCACCCATTCGAAAATTCACGCGCACAACTCGATTTCTTTTAAAGAACCTCTTCGTTTTTCATATATATATTTATATCAGAGGGGAAACGACAGATTCTGGGGGTAGATTGAATCAGCATTGTTTTGGGTTTTTTTTGCCTTCGTCCAGCCAATCATAACCCTGACTACCAGTTGCTACTGAGAACATAAACGCGCCCTCACACACCGGGCGCAGCTGGTCCGTCACTGCGGTGTACTTGATGGACCATAAGCACTTCGTCGAGACGAATTCAGTCAGTGCGCTCCCATTCGTTATTGTATGTCGCTTCAGGTCGGGTATTTATTCACGTAGGAATGGGCGCACACGTATTCATTGGCTTTCCGAAGCAAACAAGCTTCGAGAGAACACGTGGGAATACGAATAGGCAACCGCATATCAGGCTGAATTCGGCCAAGCTAGGATAGCAGACGGGAGACCAAAGAGTCTACGGGGTAGATATGGCACTGTTGGCTATAGGAAGTCAACGAATCGGTGTGCGCCCAGTCCTGATTGAATAAATACCCGATCTGCAGTGACACCAAATGACAGGTGGCGAGGCACTGTAACGGTCAAGGATGTGAGATCAACTTAAAACACACACACAATAAGTTCGTGTCGTCCAATTTCAGAAGTTCGGGAGCTGTGAGGACCAGTTTATTCTATACACAGGGCAGGTTGCTGTAAGTTGGCTGTTGGTTTGCGACAGAAATAAGCGTTCGTTCACGGAGTGTGTCAGTCGCGGTGTGGTGTTTACGCGGGAGTGTGTCTGGGTCAGCAGGAGGGGGTGACTGGATGAGTGTTGGTCGTGTGATTAGACAAATTAGGGGAGGAACAAGGGGCGCATGCACACAATGCCTCACGGGTATCAGGCCAGGGCGTCAGACGCGCGTGGGGTGATGAAAGTTTGTGAGGCCAGCCGACAGTCACTGAAGTTGGACCGGAGATGTCTGAGTGTTTGCCGGCAGGGGTGGTCGTGTGTCAACAGATGTCGCCGCCATTGTTCGACAAAACGGAGCCGGAGAAAAGGGGGACTGGTGCGGCTGCTACAGCACTGATGAACTTCGGTTCGATGAAGTGCTTATGACCCATCTGATAGACCGGGTATTTATCAATCAGGAATGGGCGCACACCGATCTATTGGCTTCACAAAGCAAACAAGCTCCGTATGTGTGGCAAACGTCACGAACAGGCAACCAATTACCAGGCCGAAGTCGGCCAAGTCATAATAGCAGCGAGGAGGGAAGACAGAGAATGCGGGTAGATTGATACATCACTGTTTCGGGCTTATTCTGCCTTCATTCAGCCAATCATAACCCTGACCACCAGCAGCTGGGACCAGAAACACAAACATGTGCACAGACGCACCTGGCGCAGTCGATCCACCACTGAGGCCTACCAGATGGGTCATAAGCACTTCATCGAACTGAAGTTCGTCAGTGCCTCGCCACCTGGTGGATCAACTGCGCCAGGTGCGTCTGCGCGCATGTTTTTTGTTTCTGATCCCAGCTGCCGGTGGTCAGGGTTATGATTGGCTGAATGAAGGCACAATAAGCCCGAAACAGTACTGTATCAATCTACCCGCATTCTATGTCCTCCCTCCTCGCTGCTATTATGACTTGGCCGACTTCGGACCGGTAATTGGTTGCCTGTTCGTGACCTCTGCCACTCATACAGAGCGTGTTTGCTTCGGGTAGCCAGTAAGTCGGTGTGCGCCCAGTCCCGATTGAATAAATACTCGATCTGCAGTGGCAGAGAATGGCAAGTGGCGAGACACCGTCAAACGTCGTTCCGATGAAGTGCTTGCGACCCATCTGGTAGACTCCAGTGGTGGACCAGCTGCGCCAGTTGTGTAAGCGCATGTTTAAGTTCCCAGTCACAGCTGACGCTTAGAGTTAAGATTAGCTGAATGAAGGTAGATACAACGAGCATTATGTCGGTTTTTAGTTTTTTCAGCCATCGTGCTGAACGAGAACGCTCCTTAATGTGATTCAGAGACACCGCAATAACCTCAAAGGAAATGTATGTGCGGTGCGATATCACCGTAACCGGTATGTGCAGAATGGTTGGCCTAAATGATTTATGAGCCAATGCGCGTATCTGAGAC